TCTTTGAACGATACAATTCCTACTTCAAAACTATTTACCCCTTCCTCTCTTTGTCATGAAAATTCCTACTAGCAGTGAAGTTTTCAGAATAAAACTAGTACAAGTGTTCTTCCAATGAGTATCTACATCTGATATCCACACATCAATGTCTTCCCTGACACCACAGGGTGAAAGGAAACAACTGCTTATGCTGTCATCATGAGTATGACTATTACTTTAATTATTAACGGTTACTGAGGTTTGGCGTTCATAAACTAAGACCAGCTGCTTTTTAGAAATTCTGGACTAAGACATCTGGCTATCACAAATTGGCAAATTTGTCAGTTGAAATTCCTACTAAACATTGAAATTCTCTCAATTTTGAAAAAAATACTGTATCATGAATTTATTTTTACTGCTGTCGTGAGTTATAGTTTTAGTGATGGTACAATTTTAAATTAAAATCACTAATTACCTTTATCATACTGGACTTAGTTTGTGGTGAGGATTAATATCATGGTAACTATTGATACATAGTTGCCACAATATTTTTAATTGATCTTACTGCTAATATTAGAGTGTAAACATGAATTATTATCCTCTATCATTACAGTAATTTTGTTTGAAAAAATTACATTTCTGTTACAAAATTATTTCTTCATTACAGAATGAGAATAGGAAATGAAGGTGAACCCTAAACTCTTCTGCCCTGCCTAAGCCGAGTATAACAAATACTGTAACTTTTATACCATGATAATCCATGTCTTTACTACTCTTAATTGAAAAAATTGAAAAACACACTTGTACTTTTAAAAAATGCCATGGAAGTTCATGAAGTGATGCCTGCCAGTAGTTCCAGATACCTAGGAAGACTGTTTACGCCCTTAAATTTAAGACCAGTGGGGGCAAAATGTGATTCTATCAAAAGAGAGAGAGAGAGTTGCTATAAAATAAAGTCAAGGTTATATCTGTGATATTGCTTTCACAATTTTCCATCTCCATATAAGTTATGATAAAGAGACATGTGGTAAACCAAGTAATTGCCCCCGTTCATAAGTCTTCCATCATATATCAGAGAAAAAAACGGTGCCAAAATTGCTGATCTGAATAATACAGACTTACATAGTAGTAATGTGTATGAATAGGTAAAGTTTTAACAGTAAAGACATTTCAGAAAAAATAAATGATGAAAGGTAAATGGAGTTATAATAATGAGCAGAGAAAACTCCCATCCAAGTGTCTGAACAAGACGACTAATTGTATAGGAAACCATCCCACAGTCAATTTGATATGAAGACAACAGGCACCACTTAAAGCAGGCTAAGCCTAGTATTAAATACAAATGGTTTATTTGAAAATCTCCAAATGCATAATTGAGCTCCAGTGCTATTTCCTGGTCTCAAACAGCCACTACCTCCCACTACCACCACTGCTCCTCCATACACACACACATACACACACACACAAATGGAACCACAAAAAAATGTAGCACATGACTGAAGGTACAATATTTATGGAACAGTGAGCCTGAGACAGCAAAAAGAGGCCTTCATAGGGAAATATCTGGAACGTTGATAATCAAATCTAGAGTTTAAGAGGGATTTCAGATTGAAATCTGGTATCCAAATGATGAATGCATAAATTAGAATACCTCACTCTGAAGGATTGACGTTGAGGAGAGATGGGAACCATTTATACCTTTATAAAAGGTTATTTATCCAGAAGTTAACCAGTGTAAGAAATAGAGGAAAGAACTGAAGCAAGAAATGACAGTGTCATACAAACAAAGATAGACCAAGGAAGTGTATAAGAAGACTAAGACTTAGAAAATGAAGTGTTTAAATTGGCTAAACAGAATAAGGAAAGAAAAAAAAAAAAAGCCACTGAGTGTGGCCAGCAAAAACTGACTAGAGACTTTAAGTGTGCTGGTTTCATGGAATGCCTTTCGTTCCTCAAAAGCTACACAGTGAACAACTATGACATGTGTAAAAGTACAGTTCAGGCTTCCCACATCTAAGGACTAAAGGATAGATGGAAGTCAGATTAGGAAGCAGTAAGAACTCAACAGTACTTAAGGCAGACTTTCGTAAGAAATTTTGAGTAAAAGAAATAAAGTGAAATGACAGAACACAAAGAAAGGAAATCAGACTTATAAAAAGAAAACAATCATTAATTTCACCTTTACATATTTAGAAAGAACCAGGGATTGCCGAGGCAAATGTGAAGAAGCCAGTGAAGACTAAGGCACAGAAGCAGTGAAAACAGGACACAAGAGAAGGCAGGAAGTACTGGTACCAATACCCACTGCACGGAGAGAACTCAGCCTTAGAAGACAGGAAGGGATGACTATTCCCCTAAAACAAGCAGAAGAATGCAGGGCACGATATCCCTTCCCTTTCTTTTAAATAAAAGTAGGTGTGAATACAGCAAATGCTAAAGCTAAAAGGCAGTTTTAGATTGTGAACTAAATACATGAAAGATTCTATAGCTACATAAAGTATTTGTTAATATAAAGGAAATTACATTTTAGTAGAGGAATGTATGGTGTGTGTGTGTGTGTGTGTGTGTGTGTTAAAAGTAGCTACCAACATTACAGAACAGCACAATTGGTGTAGCATGTATGTGATATTTAAGAACCATCAGTTTAATGATATCCAAGATAAATTACAGCTAAAATTATTTAAAATACTTCATTTCAACAGTTCAACCTTCTAACAATATCTCTGTCATTTTGATTGGTATCTCTAGATCAAATACAAGAAGATCTATATATACAGCGTGTGTTTCTTATACATAAATCTATTATGACACAGACCTGGTAGGAAAATGCAGTAGATTGTTTTCCTTTTTACCACTGAGGCATTATACAATTCAGGCTAATAAGATGGAAGCATGATGAGCAATGTCAAACTACAGTGGAATGCTATTTTCAGAAAACTATTCAACAGAAAGAAAACAGCATGTTTTATGCTACTTGCTAAATGAAAAATCTTCAACTGAGACTGTTCTAAATAGTAAAGTAATAAACGTCGTTGCTAATCTTTCTAAAAAAATATTTCCCCCTACCTTATGGGGCTGACTGCTAGCATCACCAACATACACACATACTTGTGACGCCTGCAGCAGCAGCAGTCCTGAACAACTGGTTCTGCATGGCTAGTTTGAAGAAATCCTACCAGTGTTTTTAGAAAGTTATAAAAACAAAATGTTATGTAGGTCAAAATGCTACCACAGAGAGAGTGCCATGTGGACTTTCTGTTATGGTCTAACCTAGGCGCCTATGTGGAGGTAACCCTGAAGGCCTCAAATCAAAAGAAACATTATCATGACTATGAAGTGGCATGTGCGAGGCCCACATCCCACATAAAATTATTCTGAGAACTCTAAGATATTAAGAATAATAATTTTTTTAAAAGACCATCAGCACGGACTAAGGTATTAAGAACAGAAAGGACTATTATGATGGAGGCCTATTCACTGTATTTGCCATCATACAAACGTACTGAATCCACACAACTGTGACTTTTTGAAGCAGACATCCCAGTCTGAAGACTAAGTTGTTCTGTTTGTTTAGCTGAAACAGTAGGCAAGCACATACAAGCTAAGTAGGGAAACAAGCGGAGACCAAGAGAAGAAGCAAAGAAAGCCTAAAGGTTTAGTGAAGTCACCTAAAAGAAGTCCTGAGGGCTGGGGATTTAACTCAGTGACACAAGCACCTGCTTGGCAAGCATGAGGTCATGAGTTCAAGCCTTGGTATCAAAAAAAAAAAAAAAAAAGAAGAAGAAGAAGAAGAAGAAAAAGAAGAAGTCCTGAGGAAATTGAGTATATAGGAGCTGGTAACCAAAGAAGCACTGAGATTTGAGATCTCAGGAGAAACAGTCTTCCTGTGAAGTACGCAAGGGTAAAGTTTCATATGTAGACTTAGAAGTGAAAATCTTGCATAAGGTAGCTCACGGCATATAAAAACAGAAGGAAACAGCCTTCCGTATGAGAGTCCATACAATGGCAAAACAGCAGGCAGGCTGCCCACGGGCTACAGAAAAGCAGACTAACATGGTGTAAAACTGGGAGCAGAATTTAGTAGCCAAACTCACAAGGGAAGAAGAAAAGGAAGCAAGCTAATCCCGATTCTTTATTTCAATAAAGTAAATATTTATATTTTTCACTATGACAGGGAAGTCAGCCAACTTTATCCTTGTCATACTTTACCTTCAAAAAGTGTTAGAAAGTACTCATAACAGTAATGAAAAATTCAGAAGACTTTTTGTTTTTCACTAAGCTAAACTACCCTGAAATCCCTAGAAAGTACAATCCTTTACTGCCACAAGTCATGTTTAAAAAAAAAAAAAAGCAACCAAAACCTAAAGCTATGATTGTGAGATAGCTACAAAAATGTGATCACATAAACTGCCAAGTGTAAATATTCAGCTTCTAGAAAACCACTTAAGAAAATAAAGGTTGAAATGTTTATAATTTTCAAGAGTTTTAAAACACTTATCAATAATTTTTAATGAGGTATGTAACTCAAACTTTTTGCTTATTCTGTAGGAGCAAAAAAGACCCCTTGTAGGTAAGTTAATCAAATACATCCATCACATAGGGGATGATATGTAGGAACATGTCATCAATTTCTCCTCAGAGAGTACTACTGGCTGTCTGCAGCATTTCAAAAAACGTGACCTAAACCTAAGAAATTCCTAAGGAAAAGAGACAGAGGAGATCATGGTATTTGATTTCCAGATTAGAAAACTAAAGCAAAGATGTCTCAGCCAAAAGGCACACTTTTGGTGAGTATCAAAATTGAGACCATGGCTAAACTCCCTTCTCAAGGTTCTTCTCCCCTACCCCACTTCTAGATGTCAATGACCAATAGAACTGAACGGAACTATTATTATTACAATAATAATACAATATTCTTTATTGAATGTAAAATAAGATGACAATCTAAAAGAGTACAAAGTAATTTAAAACATTTGCTTGGTATTATGAATAATATAATTAATATTAGTTGAAAGCCATACCTTTACTGCTTCTGATGAAAGCACATTTTCCTTTTTCTGACTTGTGCTCATGGGCTGATTTTCAATACTGAAAAATAAGAACCATAATTTCTTTTGAAATTAAAAAAATTTATTCAACTGATACAGTTCCTATTTAAACCAAAAACTGAATGGTCTTTTATCTTTAATGCTCCCAAGGTTCAGACAGAAAATGTTACCCAAGGGTATGTCAATTTGAATCTCTAAACTTGAAAAACACAATCATATATGCTCACCCAGGCTTCGGAAATGTCAGTTCATTCATTATCTCATACTGATAATCACATCACGGTAACACTACAACAATATGTAACTATAATAATCTTGCAAAGGCCTTAACACTATAATTTATTTATATCAAAGGTTTTCCAGAGTCTGATCTTTTCTTAACACTTATGTTGAATGTTATTTCTGTTTGGCAAATCATGATAAACATATCATGTAATTTACTATTCAGTAAATTCTGGAAATACTCAAAAATAGATGCAGGCTTACCTATCCCCAAATATGTCCCACACAGTACCTTAAGAATCTATTTTTCCAGACAGTCACTTTTAACTGTCTTTTATCTGGAATACTTTCACAGATGCCTTTAAGAGATGCGATCATCAACTATCCTGCCTATAGACACAAGTACATTTTAGATCTAAATCCTTGTATCTCTACTTACTCATCTTGTTTTCATATTTCCCTAGTCCTACTAATTGAGTGATAACATTCTGAAGATTATCATGACTCTCTACCATTGCCAAAGACTGTGTTCGTTTTTTAGGACATAAAAATGATCAAGGTCTTTGTAAAACTCTGTCTAGTGGGGGGTGACTGATGAATAAACAAATTTTAACAATACAGTTCGGTAAATGTTATAATTGCAGAGTGAACAAAGTACTTTGGAGCACAAAGGAAACAATTCTGTCTGCTCAGTACAGTGCCCTGAGCAGAGTTACAAAGGCAAGCAGTACAGAGAAAACAGCATTTTCAGGGACCCGTGTTTTTGTTTTTAACATAGGACTGAAGCACAGAATTTGGAAAACACACACATAAACCTGCAAGAGATGAGATGAGACCAGCAATTAGTGGATGTAAAAACTATGAAGAACTGGCTCAACCTGTTACAGAACATGATCTTTGTTCTACCTGCAATTGAAAGACTTTAAAGTGATGAAGCAGGGGACAAGCATGAGCAAGATGACTGCCAGTGGAGGAAATAAGGAATTCTGATCACTGTGGGAGACGTCCCCTGAAAGGCAAGGGATGTCAGTAGTTCATATCACAGCAAGGCCAATCCCAAATCAGAAGGGGAAGAAAAGAACGTTTGCTACCTAGACTTCTACTTGCAATATCCAGTGCTGTTACACAGAATATCCAAGGATGTAAAAGGGACAAAAGACAGGAACAAAACAGAAAAACTATGAATACTCAAAAAGTATACTGGATTAAATTGTCATTATTTTCTAGACTCTATGCAAGAATACAAAGATTAAGCAGATATCGCTATGCTCTTAAATCTCTTACAAGTCAGCAGAAAAAGCATGTAAAAAAATAACTGAGCTGTGTGAATGTATGAAGAATTCTGTAGGAAAAATCAAAATAGAAAATGAAATAATACCGAACAATGCAGAATTATAACTTCTAACCTTTACATGAACAATATACACACATATAAAACCATATATGTTATGTGTATACGTATAAACACATGTATAAAATTATCTTTGTGGTTATTATTTTTAAGGTGAGCGGTGGAGCTTTGTTCCTTTTATTTTTCTAGTCTTACCTGTTGATACAATGTTGTTTGTAATGTTGTTCCTGTTTGTTTCCTTTTTCATTCTGTGTGACTTGATACTCATCTATTTAAGCTCCAATCAAAAAAGCCAACTCATGAAATATATGCAAAAAGAACCTGATATAAAAATCTGGAATATAAGTATAATGCTGATTTTGATGATTTTGTAAGTAAATTCTCTAACTAAAATCTATTTTGGATGCCTTATCTTAAAACTAAGCATATAACAAACAATTTTAATCTTCTAGTTGTTGCCTCAAGATTCCTTAAAATCTATTTTATTTTGTATTTATGGAGCTTTCTATAAACATACTGCCTTGATGAGTTTATAAATTAAACTGGTAAAAATCTTTTTCTAACAGTAAAGCTCTGTATAAAATGTAGCCAAGTTCATGGGATTAACTACTTTACTAATCCAACTATTCAAACACAGAATGACCAAAAATTGCACTTTTTGTTAATTTTCATAAGATAAAAACGACAATTTTATCAAATTTATTCAACACATGAATCAACTGGTTTAAATGACACCAGCAGGAGGGAAACTCAGGACAATCAGTACTCATAACACTCTAAACTGTTAAGTTTAAGGTAGAAAGTCTTTTAAAGAAGCTTCAGTCACTGCAAGTCTACATACATTAATACCAGAAATACGTTACAGTAAATAAAGCACATAAACATGGAACAAGCAAGTAAATAATTTAAAGTTGTAATTAACAAAAGAACTATTACCTGACATTTGTTAAAAGTCTCTAGAAGAAAAAAAAAAACAGGGTTGGGGATATAGCTCTGTGAGACAGCACCTTCGCTACAAATCAAGAATCAGTTCAACTCCTGGTAGGAAAAAAAATGTCTCTGAACTTCTTTTGTATGCTTAGGTCTCACGATTCTTATTGTTAAACCACTGTTTTAAAATGTGTTGAGTTTTAAAGTCAATAAAACATTTTAAAATTCTGCCTTAGCAAGAACAACAACAAGGGGCTGGGGATTTAGCTCAGTGGCATAAGCACCTGCCTTGTAAGCAGGCGGTCATGAGTTCAACCCCTGGTACCGATACAAAGATAAAAAGATTAAAAAAAAAAAAAAAAGAACAACAACAAAATCATAGCTTCAATGAAAGGCTTTATCACTTCTTACTTTAGATAGTTAGTCTCAAATTAATTGGTGTCATTAGGACTGCTCTGCTTTAGTACTTCACATGGGAGCCAAAATGATTCTAAATCATCATGACACTCTCCTATCAAAAAATTCTTCAACAATGTCTATCAGTTGATGAACATACTGAAGAGCCCTGAGCACAAAGAAAGTTATCGTGACCTAGCTCAAGACAGACCTGTCATCTAGAAGTACTTCACTTAGGTAGGCTGTACCAAATTCATAGGTTAGCAAACCACTTTCTTCTCTTTCCTGCAACATTCTTACCCTGTACACCAACTCTTCTCGTAGTCTAGTTTCAGCTTTGCTTATGTTCTTTGTGTTCCCAACTCACTCAGCAGTACTTCTCATATATTTACTTGTCCAACTAGAATGTGAACTTATAAAATTCAGCAAATGTATCATTCATGTCTGTGTCCCACAGCCTAGCATTATGCCTGGTATTGTGAAGCCACCAAAATATTGTTAAGTGAATTTCAAAAACACAGAACCACAAATAAAAAGGTCAATATAAGACAAAAAGTATTCATTTTTTAAGCAACTTTCACTCATACCATAGCTGAAAACTAAGAATCCAACAGCCATTGAGAATTTACTTAATCCGTATCAGACATGAAATAAAACAAATCTCTGGATTTTTTTTTTTTTTTTTTTTTTTTTTGTAAGAGGATCAAACTCATTTACCCGTGCTTGCCAGGCCGGCACTATGCCACTGAGCTAAATCCCTAGCCCCAAATCTCTAGCTCAACAAAGAAAAATGAGGTATATTATAAAGTTCAAGTAATTTATATCGAGTCCCTGACTCATGTTTTTAAGATAAGATACCTTATACTCTTACTTTTTTTATTAATTTCTAACAAGATTTAATAACCCCTAGCAGATAAGCAGTATAGAACTTGGCCCCAAAATTCATCCTTCCAACATGAAGTGCCTGCTGGCATGTGCCAGGTACTGTTTTTGGTGAAAAAAAAAAATCCAAGTCCTTGCCTTCTTCATCCTTTAGAACCCCTATACATCGGAATAATTTAGGAAACTGTGTTTATGAAAGGGACTTCAGACAGTGGGGACCTCAAATACCCTATGATGAATATTATCATTATACATTTCCAAACTGTACCAATAAACTTTTAATAAAAAATTAAAATAAACTTTTTCTCCAAAAATAAAGAAAGTATCTCAGGACTTCACTGGCAAGAAAGCCACCTGGAATGGGATCCACATTTTCAACAACCAACCGTCTGCTGAGTTGCTCAGATATGGGGTGCTTTAGGGCCACATTCCTGATAAACAGTAACCTGAGGGCGTCTCTGGCTGGACTCAGGTGAAACCTATAGTTGATAGTCTTATAGAAAGAGAGAATCTGGTCAGGAGGATTAATATCACCTAAATATTAAAATTACTGATACATAAGTATCAATTACTTAGAAACCTCAGGTTGAATACTACTCAATCTCCAATACGGCTGCTCAGCCACACCAGGAAAGAGTGCTTATGCAAAGAGCACATAGAGCATCACAAATAAAGTGGAACCAACGAAGAAAATTCCACTTCTTTTGGTTTACATAACAGAACAATGCACAAGGATACTACTGGACAAAATCAGTCACTCATATGATGAGAGCCTAATTTCTTGGGTAGCTGGAGGACAGAATCACAGGCCAGTGGGGTGCACTCACTGAACAGAGAGCAGGTGCAGTCAGATCCATCAAAGCTCTCCACTCAGCTCTTCCTGAAACACAACTGTTGACACTTCTTCTACTTTCTCTCTCACATATTATGACTGTGGTTACACTGTGAATATTCAGATCTGAATATAGCTTCTATAACTGCCTTATGGAGGCTTGCCCATGTCTCAGGATGCCGAAGTCAATGATGTCTCACCATTGCTATAGAAGAGACAAATCTGGTTTTGATGGCGATAATCCTGAGCACCTTCAAACACAAAGTCACTTAACGTAAGGTAGTCCACAATTTGGAAGCATTCTTACCTCAAAACAGCACCTGCAAATTCACTGTCCTTCAGGATGCTGCACCAATTCTCAGGATCTTCTGTAAGGATTTACCTTCTCTTCTCATTCATCCCACTCAGCCTGAAATGCTGCCTGAAA